CTCAACCCAAATCTAGCATGCAGTACTCATAATCATATCATATATCATAACAAACATGTATGGTATCTTGGGGAAAACTTACTTGAGCTCGGCCGATTGCACACATTACACACCTTGTTCTTTCTCAAAGCTCTTTATTTTAATTTTTAGAAAAATTATTTTTTTGTAAAAATCTTCCAAACCCACGATTTGAGTCCGGGCACCCCTAAAAGTGTGTCTGAATCCCTCAAACCAAGGCTCTGATACCAACTTCTAACATCCTAAAAATCATGACCAAAAATTTCATTTTTGATATAATGATTCATAAAACAATTTAAAGAAAACATCATCAGGTTATTTTCATTTCATAAAAACAATAGATCATATGTCTCAAAAACATGTCAAAAAATAGTAACAATGTCAGAGTACAAATCCCAAGAATCTCATATAAGGAAAATCGTGTGTGTGATGCATTGCTATCGTGCCGACTCCTTTCCTTTTGAAGATGAAGTACATGACACCAATACTAAAAATCATCAGCACAAAGCTTAGTGAGCTCCCCTATCATACCACATACCATACGTAACACATACTGTCTAACATATCCGGGTACTAGCTACCCCTTTAGTCTCTTTCAACCGGTAACTTGCCTATCATATCAGGGTGCTGGCCTACCCATTCAGTCTTGTTGACCGGTAACTTGCCTAGCATAATAGGGTGCTGGCCTAAGCCTTCGGTCCTGTCGATGGGTACCTCGCCTAGCTTATCAGGGTGCTGGCCTACCCGTTTGGTCCTTTCGACCGTTACCGGGAACTATTTCACCCCTACTTCTACCATATAACATCCTAGTGCATAAACATATAATTCATATACTTCCTAGCTTATCCGGGTACTGGCATACCCCTTTGGCCCTATCGACCGGTATTGGGGTCTATCCTACCACTCCTACCATTATCAAATAACATCATAGCATACTGGCACATAAGCATGACATATAGTGACATACCATATAATTATCACAGAGATAATCATCTCTACTATAGCTATTACTAGTGGGCCGACAATGGTACATTTAACACGCTTCTATTGGAAGGTAACTCACCTTGATGTCGCGTAATAGCTGAACTGTCCTCGGTGCTGGGATAAACTTCTCTCAAACCCCTACACATATAAATATCTTTTAATTACCCTTTCATACTCATAACCCCTTTAAGGGTTAACTCTGGTCAATGGTCAAAGTCACAGTTAACATCCTGGTCAAAGTCAACATCCTCGTTGACTCAACTCGCCGAGTTAGTCCATCAACTAGTAGAGTTCCATAATCCATAAAACCCTGAAATCTTAATCCTACTTGTCGAGTTCTTTCGTGGAATCATCGAGCTTCATGATTCATAAAACTCTAGAAACCTTGATCCTACTCATTGACTTGTTTCATGAACTCGTCAAGTTCTTCCTTATTACATAGTCTGGCCCTTTTACTCATAATTCGTCGAGTTCCTCCTAAAACTCGCAGGGTTTTCCTTCATATAGAGTCGGGACATTTTGCTCATAACTCGTTGAGTTCCTCCTTGAACTCGTCGAGCTCTTCAATCTTCCAGCCTAAAACATGTCCAACTCGCTGAGTCATCTCCTTGACTCAATGAGTTTACTCAGTAACAGAAAAGGTTGGGGGACCACGACCCATCTCGCCATGTTGTACAAACAACTCATCGAGTTCCCCATAGTCTAAATCCATACAGTCGTTTCTAGTCAAGCTTAATGCATCCAAGTCAAATATCTTGTTCCCTAGGGTCAATATATCACGTAAAGTTTCTATGATTACGTCCATGCATGGGCTATTTAGCTCAAAAGCCCCAAAAAGTGGTTCGCAAGTTGCATGGGACTACCATGGCCATAAAGTTGGCACCTTTATGCCATGGATCCCTCAAAGGCTCTAGATCTGAAGTCATGACTCCAAAACATGCTTGCATCCATGAATGGTCCCAAAATGGGCTACTTCAAGCCCTAAACTACTCCATGAAGAGATCTAGTAAATGAATATACAAGTTATAGAATTTATTCCTCAACAAGGCTACTTTAACCATGAAATATCTGGATCCAAGGCTTCTTCCTTCATTAAAGAACTTCTAGCTTCCACTCCTTCAAGGAAATACCAAAGAATCACTTTTTTCACTCACACACACACACTCAGAAGGCTCGAGATCACAAATTAGGATTTTGCTGGACAGAGGGAGGCGATGAGGGAGGCCACAATAGGGTGTTAAGGTCCTTTAATATGGTACAAACCCTAAAAATTAGGGTTTCACTTTGGCAGCACTACTCGTCAAGTCGAGGCTTCGCGACTCGTCGAGTAGACTTCATGTCCCGCTCCCCAAAAATCCTTTTCTACTCGATGAGTTGGGGCCTCCAACTCGTCGAGTCCCTTTACAAAAATGAATAATTCTTACTAAAATAGATACCAGGAACCGAGCGTTACATCCTGACTCCTCTAATCCCAAGTTTTTGCAGTCACGCCATTTTATCTTAAGTAGTACTAATAAAATTCCAGTTTATCATGCTTGTCAACATGTCAAACATTGTCGTTTATTTTTTTCTTTTTCTTCTTTATCAAACACCACTCGTGTGTTTGAACTTATTCATTTTGATTTATGACATCCCTCGTTACTAGATTTAAGTGTTTTAGATATCATATATTGTTTCTTAATGATTTTTCACATTTTTTGTGGGTTTTTTTCTCTTCGTGTAAAATCTGAGGTTTATTGCATTTCTTTGTAATTTAGAATGTACGTCAAATATCAGTTTAAAATCGACATTCAATATTTTTAGTGTGACAACGGACATGAATTTAATAATCACCATCTTTTTATGTATCTTCAATCTAAGGGACTTAACATTTGTTTCTCTTGTCCATACATATCTCATGAAAATGGAAAAGCCATACGATATCTTCGAACTATCGACAATATTGTTCACATTTTTCAATATCAATCGTCTTTAACACCTATGTTTTGGACTAAAGTGCTTCCTATTACTGTGCAAACACCTAATCTCATCCCTAGTACCACCCTATCCTTTAAGACAACCTTCGAATTCCTACTTGCTTTATTTCCATAGTATAATCACCTTCGTGTCTGTGGGTGTTTGTCTTTCCCTGACACGTCTTCTACTTCTCCCCATGAACTCTCTCCTTGATCTACTAACTGAGTTTATCATCATCTTGAACTGAATTATAAGGGATATAAGTGTCTCAATCTTGTCATGCAGTGCGTTATCATATCTCATCATTTCATATTCGATGAAGATCACTTCCCTTATTGAGATTATCATCCCTCCCTTCCGACTATGACGATGAAATTTACTCGTGATCCTGTCCTTTCTCATTCGATATCCCCCCCCCCACCAAGCAACTGGCCACACAACTACCTTCTCCTCAACCCCCTCCACATACTATTCATCACATGAGCACTCACTCTTGAATAGATTCCTAAAACTGTGTACCATTCTTAACCTCTACTACTTCTGATATCTCACCAATTCCTACATCAACAACTCAGGCCATGAGTAATCCTAATTGGTAGTTATACATGGATGCATAAATATCAGCCCGCACTGATAATCACACATGGGATCTTTTCCCTCTTGTTCCCAATACCAAAATTATAGGTTGTCATTGGCTTTACCATCACAAATTTCACTCTCACGATAACCTCCATCGCTATAAATATGTAATAGTCACTCAAGATTTCTCTCAACAAACTGATCTACGTTTTGATGATACCTTTAGGCTGGTTGTTAAACCTGCTACCATTCGTAGTATTCTTAGTATCAATGTCTCATTTCATCGGCCGATCCATTAGCATGATCATGTGTGCCGCGTACGTAAGGCCTTATACGGTCTTGAACTGGCTTCCTGTGCCTGTTATCAATAGCTTGCTGTCTATATCTCATCCCTTGGCTTCACCAACAGTAGATTGAACAACTCTCCTTTCATATTTCATAGTGAAATTGAGAATGTCCATCTCCCCCTCTATGTGGATGATATCATTCTCACGACTTCTAGCCTATATATCATCATGAGAGCTATTAAACGTCTCTTGTCTAAGTTTTCCATAATGGACTTAGGTTCTCTGTCTTTTTTTCTTGGTATTGTTGCTACTCGTTCCTCAAATTGTTTGTTTCTTTCAAAAACTAGATTTGCTAAGGAGATTCTATCGCTTGATAATATAACCTCTTACAATCCATGTAGCACTGCTATAGACACCAAATAGAAACTCTCTTCATCCGGGAAACCTTTTTATGATCCGAACCTATATCAAAGTATATCTAGGGCTCTACAATATTTGACGTTCACTCGTTCGGATATTTCATATTTGGTTCAGCAAATCTTCCTCTTTATGCATTAGCCTCACGAACGACACTTTCTAGTGTTAGAATAAATCAAGAGTTGATCGAAAGATTCTAAACAGAAAAGTAAATCAAAAAAGAATACAATAAATAAAACTACTGTTGAATGATTAATAATCAGTGCCTTAGAAGGGCTAGATGAAGAACTGTAAAGACACGGTAGGGAATCACAAAACGATTAACCCTAATGAAGTGCATGCATGCAGTATTTAAAGCTAAACCCTAGCAATATAAAAATGGATGGGCAGGCCCATACCATAAAAGTCTAACTACATACATAACAAAATTTCATACAATAAATTAGATAAACCAACAATCTCCCCCATTGTGTCAAATAAGGAAGGCAGATTCTTCAACTCTGTTGTCGCTTTTGAACTTTAAAAAGTTTTGGCGTTATACACAACAAAGTTTTGCGAACCAGGATGTACCAATTGATCATGTCTGAAAAGCATTTCTTCTTTCCAGAACTGTTCTCTTTATTCTAACTAATAAACTCAAAAATGTGCTCAAGGCATGAAGTGGAATATAGATGCTTGTCGAGCAAAAAAGAAACAAACTCTGTGAAAGCTCGCATTAGGTTGTTCTCGCAGTTGAAATGCCACACTCCAATCATTCTTTCATATTCTTCCCAAATTCATTTTATCAAGATCCTTCGAAGGCTCCTTGGGAAGCACTATAGGATTCTTATTATAGATAGTTGCAATCTCCTTGTCCATCTTCCTAACCTCCTGGATGTAAGAAACTCTATGAAAATTCACAGCAGGTTGTTCTCGCAGTTGAAATGCCACACTCCAATCATCCTTTCGTATTCTTCCTAAAGTCATCTTCTCAAGATCCTTTGGAGGCTCCTTGGAAAGCACTGTAGGTTTCTTATTAAGGACAGTTGCAATCTCCTCATCCATCTTCCCAACCTCTTGGATTTAACAAACCAACATTCATTTAAGATGTGCAGTAACAGACTCCAACTTTTGTTCATTCTTTAGCTGTTGAAGAAACAGAGAAATCCAATCGAATGGGTTAAGGTAGGGCAAATTAGCGAGAGGGAATTCGAACATTAAAATCACAGCCCTATGAGTAACCTTGAAGCGATTGTCGATGATGCTCTCTATTTCAAGTGGTACTAATACCTTGACAGCAATGATCTTCTTTGAGCTCCGGGTTTCGTATTGTGCCTTCATGAGCTTTAGATAAAATGAGAATAGTATCTGATCAACACCTGTATCAGAGATAGGAAGACTTGCAATTTTATCAAAACTTCAAAACTAAAAGGCCTTCGGTGTGATTGGTAGATCAAGTTACAAATCTGGAGAGTTCTCTAATTCAAAAGATGCAACAGGCTCTAATCAATAAATGTTCAGGTTATCATTGGCTTCCTTCAGGATTCATTCTAATGTCCATAAAGGAAAAAGAGTTCTCTGAGTTTTCAAGGTTTCCTCAGCGTCACGTGCTGCCTTCTCTCGTTCCTCAGCCTCTTTAGTGACTCCCAGGTTTTCATCTAATTCAACATCACGAGATTTACACTTAGTTTTTTTATTATCATCTTCTTGTTCCTCATCATCATCATCAACAATCTTCCCTTTTCCTCTTGATGCCAAAGCTACATTATCCTTTGGATCATTAGACTTTGGTTTTGTTCATGATCATCTTCACCATCAGTCACTTTACAAGCACCAAAAGTTCTTGCTGGGTCTCCCCCCTTGTTTTGGAATAGAAGATTCTGAAACACCATGAATTTTGTCTAGAATGAAGAAGATAGGCTTCAATTTCTCTGCCAGATGCTGACAAACAGAGACTGTGAAGAGAGAATCACGAGTCTCAATTAGACTATGCAAATTAACATTCACATCAGCAACATTTAATAAAAAATTTTCATATTTCAAATCAGCAATTTGGGAATTCGCATGTGGTAACTTAACTGAGAGAACCTTTACCTTCTCAGTTTTAACAACAGTCTCATCCATTATCTTGTTCTTTAGAGCCAAATCATCCTGAAGTTTTTAAATTTTGGAGCAGATGGATGTTTGTAACTTAGAATTGCCAGTTTGGATCTTAGTGCGAACCTTCGTAAGAGCTGCCTTTTTAGTTTCGAGAGTAGAAACAAGGCTTCTGATGGCTGTGTTCGCAGGTGATGAGCTGCGTTCTGATGAAGTATAGAATTCCTCCATAATGTTTTTAATATTAGAAAGCAGTTTATCGAATTTTTTGGTCGTTTCTATACAAGTCTTTTAAGAATCAACAACTGCTTTGTTTGGGAGGGCGAGATTTGTAACATGCTCTTAGTAAGTGTTACAAGGAAGCCTTTGATAGAAGCCTGAGAGAATTCACTATTGGACGAGCCTTTAGTGGACTCATGTAAAGAATCCAATTTGGTATTTAGGGCCTTCAACTGCCCTATTGTCATTTAAGCATCATCTTCATCACTTTCTCGTTATACATTAAAAGGACTATAATGGAAGTCTACAAAAGCACCCGATCATTATTAAAGACTATATCAGGATCATCTCGACGAAGAGGTGAGATGGGAGTGAAATCAACACCAAAAGAAAAACCAGAAGCCCATGCCCCCATATCAGATACATTTGGAGTGGCTGTTGAGTTTGTGAAGAGAGGTGTAGATAACAAAATTGAAGCTTGAGGTTGCAAAACAGCCACAGAAACCTTCGGGCATGGAGCAATCATGATAGGTGTTGTTGTGGCAGTAGGAGAAGGCGGAGTAAAATCTTGGAAGAAGTCATCTGTTATTGGAACAGAAGTTAGCACAAAAAAAGTTACCTCAGTATTCGTAGATGAAGGCTCTGCAACCATAGGTTGCGAAGATACATCGGTATTATTAGTCTCGTGCTGGTCTTGCTAAGGAATATGAACATCGAAGATGGTGTGAGTCTTTGTATCCTCCTCATTGCTTAGTGAAGGTGTCCTTGGGTTATGAGTGGCTCACTTTTTCTTCTTTGGAGTTTGAGCAGGCTCGGAGGGATCATCCTTCGCTTTTTGGTTACCCCCTTTTCTGTGGCTTATTAGCCTCTTTTAAAGCCCTTCACATCTCATAAGTAAATGGATGAGGACCAGATGCTGGTTGTCTGTGATACTCGGTGATAACTTCACTGTGTGTTGGGACATTGTGAAGCATTGTTTCTAGAATAGACCCGATGAAAGCGAATCATGAGCTGTTAGACACGATAATGTTGGAAGTGTGAAAAATCTAAATGGCTACAACCGTTGAACCCTCGATCACCGAAATGGTGTGACATTTGATTTCCCCTTGAACAATAATGGCCTAAAAACGAGCACAAGATATCTCTGTATGGCGTGTAACAGATAAAGTACTCTGAACTAATTGAGTCCAAAGAAGCAATCTGTAATCCAGATTGATCCCTAAGTAAATGCTATAAATAATCATAAGAAAAAACTTACTTTCACTATCAGAACTTGTTACCCTCTCTGAGAAATTCTTTAAAATTAGGGTAAGCAGTCCATTCTACATGGGAGGAAGATTGGGCTCTTTGAACTTAGAGAGAATTGTAAGATGATCTTTGTAGCCCATTTGGTAGAACAACTCCAGAATGGAAGATGAGGAAATGAACTCCGATCAATCAAATCTGTAGCTGATGAAAGCCCCAATAAACTACCAAAACTTGGAATTGGTGATGGATGTTTGTTGATTACCAAGATCGAAAGTTATAGTAGCACTACATTATTCATAACGAGCAGTCTGGAAAGCTTTGGACAGATGAACTAGATGGACATGCTCTGACGTTGATAGAGTAGTAGTAAATGGTGAGTGTCTTAAGCATTCAATCAGTGGTTGGAGAAAGGTGTCATACTTCGACGGATCAAGGTCCAAGATCATATTCTAGTTAGCCTTGAGGCCAAGAAGCACTGATGTTGCAGTTTAATCGACGCATGATGGAGTTTCTGATGATGCAACCATTGAGGTCGACGGAGAAGATGACGAACAGTAGTGAGAGAAAAGGGTTTTCTTGCGCCTGATAATTTTCAAAATCTTTAGAAGTGATAAATGAATTTGATCGCTGATTTGCATTTTATACATCAGTGTTGGAGAGAGAAAGCTAGCTGGTGACGGTTCCGTTTCCCTAAAAACATTCTTGAAAAAGCGTGTGTGACAGGCGTGATGTCACGCAGCGTAACTGATAGGGAATGTTGTCAGAACATTTGAAAACACCCGCCCAAATCAATTCTTATCCCTTAAAGACCTCCTTTTCTGTTTTCCTCATTCGTAATAATTCTCCATTTTCTGCTCTCCGAATCTGCATTTAATCATTAGAACTACGAACCAGACTTTTTTAGAATCACATGGATCTTCATGCAGGAGTGTGCCAAAGGTAAAGAAATAAAGGAAGTTATCTAAGATATTCTAGTGATGTCGATAAAGACATGAAACAGTTGGATCCCAAGCAATGATCTCCTCCTTCAAAGTCAAGAGTGACTCGGAAGTGTCTGTTTGGTATCCTGTTGAATTACGATCATCTGTTTGTTGAGAAAACAATGAAAGGCTTCTTTTCATCATGTTTTCAGGGTTGTTTCATCTTCAACCAAATTCCTAAACTTAACATAAGTCCGAATGTTCGGAAGAAGTACTTATCTGACCAGTGTAGACATAAGAACAAGTATGCTTTGGAATATTCAGAGTAGTTTGATAATACATAAATCTCAAGAATTTTTTTTGGATCTTATAGGAATAAATATCTTAGGTCTAGAACATTTCATTAAGATCTCGAAAAAATAAAATAATGAGATTTCATGGTACAAGCCACGAAGGTGGATTCACATCAATTCCATAGTGAAAAGCTAGAACATATCAATTGTTCACCTTTAATTCATAAATTGGTTTTGGATTTTGGATCTCACTCAATTCGTAGTGATAATGAATTTAAGATCATGAACAAAGAGCTGTGTAACCATGTACCTCAATGGTAATCTCCAAGATTCTCAAGGGTTATGAATGTGAAAGAGAATGTGATATCGAGAAATATTAAAGATGGTTCCGAAGAAATAAATGCACCTCTAGTATATTGCGAATGACCAAGTAGTCAAATCTTAACTCAATATGAGAAGAGTAAGGTAGCTCAATGGCTTATGTGAATATTATCCTGATTGGGAAGAAACGATTGGTATTATCAACTCTTTAAGGCTTCAAACATAGAGTCTCAAAGGCTTCGGACAAAATGCAATAACATGCATCCAGGGACACTTAACTAGTTCAAAGATTTAGAATTAAATACATACCCCATCATTCGTAACTGAGAGCATCATGATGTGTTCCTTCAATGCTGGTCAATTATCTATTATTTTTTATATTTTAAAATTTTCATGAAAAGAAAAAATTAAAGAAAATATTTTTGTAATTTTTGAGATTTTCTGAAAAAGAAATAAACACAGAAATAAAGAAAATATTTTTGAGTTTCTGATTTTCTGAAAAAAGAAATAAAAACAGAAAATAATAAAAACGAGAACAGAATTTTACAAAGACATAAGAAAATAAAATATACAAGGAATACAAGAATTTCCGAACCTCCAAATGAACAGTGGTCTCCGAATCGCTCCGAGCGTTCAGACCAATTCACAGCGTGAACAGTTGACTCCGAACCACTCTGAGTGTTCAGACCAATTCGTAGCATGAAAAATTTACTCCTAAATACTTCGAGCATTCAGACCTATTCACAGCAAATTCTTACCAACTACAAAGGTATTTTTGGAACAGATTAAGCTTCAATCAATCCTAAGCCTTGATGTATTCTACTGGAAGTTTGTTTAGGTAAGGCCTTCGTAAAGATATCAGCCAGTTGATCAGCTGATCTCACAAAGTGAATTTCATCATTGCCATCCTCCACATGATCCTTGATGAAATGGTGCCTCTTGCAATATGTTTAGTCTTGGAGTGTTGCACCACGTTGTGGCAAATGCGATTTGGACTTTCAAAATCGCATTATAAGGGGATTCACTTCGTATTTATCCCATAGTCCCTTAAGTGACTTTAGATCCAAATGACTTGCAAGGTGTATTTGGCGGATGCAATGTACATAGCCCAAGCAGTCGATACTGAGACATAGGTTGGCTTTTTAGATTACTAATGGATGAGTTTGCCATCAAGAAGTTGGCATCCTCCCATGGTACTTTTGTGATCAAGACCGCATCTACCAAGATCAACATCTGAGAATGC